GGAGCAATTATTCTTTGGGATCGGCATTTTTCAAACAAACTAAAGACGTTACTGTATGAGGTAAGAATCAACAGCTTTTTATCACATTTACACAATACTTTGTGAATACAAGTCATGAACAAATCTTAAATATGGCAGGAAATGTGTTTACTTTTTTTAGTTTTGAATTTGAGCAGCAAATCTGGAGTTACATATGCTCACCAGGAATGCATAAGCAAAATTGCACAACTTTTCACTTGAAAGAATAGTGGCGATCTTGGGATGTTTTTCTGTTCAATTTTCAAATAGTGTGTAAATTCAGTACACTATCTTCAGCATGTTTAGTGCCACTTTTATAAGTAACCACGCCCCCGTCCAGGCCACGCCCCCGGCCAGGCCACGCCCTTTCCGCTTTTTTCATCACTCACCATTGCCATGTATGTGGAGGGAACATCCTCCACTCCAGCAGGAACTGAAACACACAGACAAGGTCAAACAATGACAGTTGACGTCACCTGGAACAGTATTTATGGAAGTAATATCATCCAGTGTATTGGGGCTCAGCTTAACTCGTATTGACAGAGTAGCAAGGTGGGAGGAGGTAGAAATATTTTGAGAATATGAGGCAACGCTTCTCGATCACCCCCATTCATGGATAAATCTATGAAAGATGTCACATCATGGCTGCATTTAACTAATGAAACGTCTGCGTGGATGAACTCTCACTGTCGCTAGTTTATGTGTCATGTTCTAGGTCGGATAAAATTTAAGTCAAGACTGTTCCACTAAACAACTTTGCGGATTCACGGACGTTTGTCAGCACTCTCCCAAGCGCTCTCCCTTGTCTGCGCGGGACTTGTCTGGCTTTTGATTACATATAGGTCAGATGTGTGCGGGTGAGCGTTCATACTGCAGACAGATCGCATACGTATCCAATTTATATCCACATACAAAAGAGGCCCAGGTGGGATTTGAAAAAATAAATCAGAATTTTTACACCGCAAAAAGTCGGAATTCAGCTGTGAACAACGTCAGGCGCACATAATGGCTTTTCAGTTGTCAATGAGTGCAACCTCATCATTAAACCAGTCCTTCTTTAATGGGGGGGGGGGGGATGCAAGGGTGGGCGCGTGTGACCTGAGGATCATGCTTTTTTTGCCAGACTAATACAATTGTACAAAAGTTAATTGCATGTCCACTACAGCCAATGGCACACTCATTTATTTCTTTATTATTCAGGGTCATTCCATGCCAAATCACCCAGTGATGCCACAACTCTAAAGCTCGAATTTTAGGTCAGTTGGAGCGAAGCCCAATGAATTTTAATTTGTTAGGCAAATTGATTGAGAACCACTGCATTCTACTGATACATTGTCATGTGGTGATAATATGCTTTGTGTTGTAATATCCACAATGGTTAGTGATTGGGCTGATTACTTTGAACATACCGTAGAACAGTTGAATTATGGAGGATTTCTGAAACAATTTCAACTAATAAATGAACCAATTCTAATATCTTACAGCAGAATACAAGTTGTTCTCGACTGTGTTTTTTTTTTGTGCCCATTCGAAAGCGTCTCTTACCAGAGATGACCTCACACCTGTTATAGTCGATTTTATGAAAGATATTTTGGGGCTCAGCCATCTTGCTAAAATTCACCCCGCCAGCACATCTGTATGTTAGCAACTGTTTCTAAATTGGTTGCAGATATAACAGCAGTTTCAGCATAACAACTCCAAGTACATTTTTGAAGCAGGATTAAAATTGTTTAGTTTCTCTCATCATGATGCTCCACCATGTGTTTATGTTTCAAATTAAAGGTGTCTTTCAGAATTTAGAACGGTAGCGGCAATTTAGCCAAAGATCAGCTCAAAGTCACGGCGTCTGTCTCGGAGTGAAAGTTGTTTACATCTTTCCAGATGAAGCATTCCTACCTACGAGAGAACTGAGCCGCATTACAAATGCACTGTTTCCAATCAGTTCAAACATGAAGGCGTTTTCCCTTCAAAGGCATGTGGCTGAGTTGATCAGTTCATCCTAATGGTTCTCTGATCATTCCAGGAAGTGTATCTTACTCCAGTGGCTGCATTAGTTTTCGTCGTAGACTTGACTTTAGTTGACGCAGTGTTATGTAGACTCGCGACGACTATCTTTGCGCGTTTCCGTTCACAGCATTACTCGCAGCTGTTTTGCTTTTGGCAGCCTAACTTTGTCATGGGTTTGGCCTCCCTGCAGATTCCACACGGGGCCATGGTCAAGAGGATGCACATCTACACTGGCAACAACCTGCAAGAAACAAAGTACTTCACATGCACCCAATTAAGCTCTTCGCCGACTTGATTTTAATGTATTCTAGGATTCAACGTGCGTTTTTGTCTTGTACTCAGAGCACCAGCGATGCCATTGGCCTGTTTCCTTGGTAACGTGTATGCAGAGTGTGTGGATGTGCTGAGAGAGGCTACAGGACCAGTGGGGCTTAAGTTCTGCTTACTCACTGCGGGTAACACCTTTCCTTGCCTATTCCCACATTCTTCCATAGCCAGACTTCAAGAATTGATTTTTTTTAATTATTATTAGCCATTCAGGTGTCAATCAAACAGACTGAAAAATGTTATTAGAAGCCATACCATAAAAAGCTTTAATAGCACATTATACTCTTATTTGCAATCTTAACACAGGCAGATGTGCAAAGAGCAACTGAAAGCGATGGACTTGTCGGGTGTTTGCTTATTCATTTGTTTCCAATGAATGTGCAGGTTGTGGTCCCGGGGTGATGGGTGATGCTAAAGTGAGGTCCTTAGAACGAAACATCTACTTTGGAGACTCCTGCCAGGAGGTTCTGGGTGCTCTCGGGTCACCGCATAAAGTATTCTACAAGTCTGAGGACAAGGTGTCAAAACTCTTCTTTCTTCTCTCCTCCTAAATCTGTGTTGTTTCCTGTTGAAAGAAAACATCTGTAATTGCAGTGAGGATGCTCTGCATGTGTGAGTCAATCTTCTCTACACGTGCTTTGCTTTATTTCAGATGAAGATCCACTCTCCATCACCTCACAAACAAGTTCCTTCCAAATGTAACGACTACTTCTTTAACTACTTCAGCCTCGGAGTGGTGCGTAAGGACATACCCGAAGACGTTTGCGTTGCTTTTGTGTCTCTATTTTACAGACTTGTAATACGATGACTATTTTTTTCTGATTTGTAAGTGACGTACAACTTAGCTTGATGCTGTGTTTTTATTGCGTGTTTTGAATGATCCATTAAGGGAAGAAAATGTCTCACTTGGTCGGTCATGGCTAGTTGTCGTTGCTTCCAATTTATTCATGCTAATAATAATGCTAACACATACATACATTAGCCAACAAGAGCCTTTTTCTTCTGTTACTATACTATCGTAGCCTCCCTGGACTTATCACCACTAAGTAGGGTTGGGCAAGTCTCGAGACTCCATTCCAACAGAATCTTTCACCTTTTAAAATTCCACTTCCCCAGTTTGATGCCCTGCCAGAGACCCAAATAAGAACCCGCTTGCATCCGACAAAGAAGTGCCCACACGTCACACGTCTGCACCCGATGCCAATTGCAAGTGTGGCTTAACTTTGTGAAAAAGAAATGAATCGCTTCAGTTCAACACCTGCAATAATTTACATTGTGCAAAGAAGGTTACACGACATGTATGAGTTAACAGAAAGTTTTGATAGAACAGTGTAGCTTTGAATGAACAAAGCGTTGGTTCTGTCCAAATAATGTACATCCTCAATTTGGATTCAGCCATTTATGTATTTATTTCATTTTTATTTTGCAGGATATCCTTTTTGATTCAACAACTCATCTGGTGAAGAAGTTCGTCCTACATACCAACTACCCGGGACATTATAACTTCAATATGTAAATATCCTGCTACATTTTTTTTTGGTATTCTGACACCTGTGGAATTTGTTGAGATTATTAGTATTATTTGCAAAGGTACATATATATTTTTTTATATCATCTCTGTCTCATTTTGCACTGCAGATATCATCGGTGTGACTTTAAGATTTCACTTGTCATAAAAAAAGGTGAGGCACCGGATCCTCTACCGTTTGTATTTTATTACCCTCGTTAGCAACGTGTATTTCTTTTCTCTCAGGAGGTGCTGACTCTCAGACAGATGACTGCGTATTGACCACTTACAGCAAGGTTAGGCATTTCCTGAACTTCTAAACTGCTGTCTGGAAGCTGTTTGAAAGGAGATTAGTTATCTTTGAGATGAGCAGTCAAATCACATCATTACGAGCATCCATTCGATATCAATACAGAAATAGGTTTTATGTGTCATTTTTCTGTTGATTTTAGTAGCGGTATAAAATCACAATCACTTTAGCAACAAAGGAACTACATTTACAGCAGAAATTTAGATACTGCTCCAGAGGTTTCCCAAACAGTTCTTCAAGATCCTTTCGTGTTTTTTTTTTATGGTTTTCTGTGACATCATACCTTTGTTATTTCCTCTTTTTGACAAGCATATGGGCTTGTAAACTTAACACAAGGTAAGCAAGTGTTGAGTTTTTCCATTACTTTCTTTTTCATTGCCAGTGGGATCAGATTCAGGAACTGCTGGGCCACCCAATGGAAAAACCTGTTGTGCTTCATAGGTAATGAAATAAATGATTTTTATGGTATTTCTCCACTTGAAATTGTGCCCCAGACGCACCTAAAAAGGATACTTCTACACAGTATTTCATCGAAACATTTTTAACAAGCGCATCATTATTGTAGCATCACCATAACAAAGAAAAATCTGCTTAACAGGTCCTCATCTGCCAACAATACCAACCCCTTTGGCTCCACGTTTTGCTTTGGACTGCAGAGGATGATCTTTGAGGTCAGTTTGTATGTACTTTTAGTATGAGTGAATGTCGAGTCCCCTCCAAAGAATTGGAACGGCAAGGGAAGTTCCTCAGTTATTGTGGTCTACTGAAGACTTTGGGTTTCAGATCAAGAACTGCAGCTTTTATTTCATGGGCTTGACATCTCGACGCGTTCAACAACTCAGTACAGAGCACCTTTTGAACCCACCCACTTTTCAAGTGACCAAAAGTATTGGAGCGTGGGACTGAAGGGGGTTTTGAGTTGTCGTTGAGGTCTTGCCTTTTAAGCATTAGATACAGCCTTTTTTGCAGGGGTGGGGGGGGGGGGGTTCACGTGTTAAAACTGCATTTGCTGCTAAGCAAACATGAATATCCGATGGGTGTCTATGGAAGAAAAGCAAACCGTTTTGAAGCTGAGAGGAGAAGGAAAATCAGTCAGAGCCATTCCACAAATGTTGGGCATAGCCAAAACATCAATTTGCAATGTCCCGATAAAGAAAAAAAACTACGTGTACTGGGCAGCCAAGGATATCAATAGAGTTGTGAAGCAACACCCACAGACAACAATCCATTAATTTAAAAATGTGTGCTTCAATACATTTGCTCATGTGAAAAGTGGGTAACTTTAAAAAAAAAATTGTGCTATGTCCTGAGATGGTAAACATATCTAGATGTATCCATCCATCCATAATCTGATCCGGTTATCCTCACGAGGGTTGCAAATGTGCTGGAGCCTATCCCAGCTGTCTTGGGGCGGTAGGCGGGGGACAACCTGAAGTGGTTGCCAAACAATCGCAGGGCACGATATAGAAGACAAACAACCATTTGCGCTCACAATCACACCTTTGGGGTGTTCCGTTAACCTACCATACATGTTTTGGGAATGTGGGAGGAAACCGGAGGACCCAGAAAAAAACCCACGCAGGCACAGGGAGAACAAAACAAATTCCACATAGGAAGGCCTGGAATTGAATCCCAAAACCTCTGCACTGTCAGGCACACGTGCTAACCAGTCGCCCACCGGACCATCTCGATGTAAATACCATGAAATAAAAGCTGGAGTCCTAAACTTTTGTCCAAAAAAGTAACCCAAAAAAATGGTAGGGTCAGGGGGGTATTGGACCCCTTGATATGGGCTGCTTGGTCCTTGTCCGACCTGTGTCAGAGTTTGATACACATTTCCGAAAGGAGGGTTCATTTGTTTCCAGTGGGGGTTGGATTCAAGCCAGGGCTGTCTTTTGTCACTGATTCTGTTCATCCGTCATGGACAAAATTTGGACAAAAAGACGTTGAGAGGGTCCAGTCTGGTGGTGGTCATCAGCTCTTACTGGAGTGGTTGAAGAAGGAGCGCAGCTGAAAGGCGAAGCTCTCTATTTACCAGTCGACCTACGTTCCTCCCCTCTCCGATGGTCCCGAGTTGTGGGTCATGACTGAAAGAACGCTATCCCTCCTGATACAAGTTGGCGAAATTAGTTTCCTCTGCAGGGTGTTGCGAGCTTTTCATTCGAGATAGGTTTGAAGCTCAGTCATCTGTAAGGTGTCTCAGAAGGGAGCCAGATGAGCTGGCTCGCACTTTTGAATTAATACAGCTGTAGCGGTTGTGAAAGCGCTGTATAAATAAAGATGTATTGTGTAATACCCCCTGGATGCCTCCCTGGTGAGCTGTTCCAGGCACGTCCCATTGGGAGAAGACCCCAGGGATGACCCAGGAGGCACTGGAGAGACTCTGTTTCCTGGCTGGCCTTGGCCTAATTATCTGAACACGCGAAGCAGCAACAACCATTTGGACGGCCACTTAGAACGCGGCACAAGTCCTTGCTTCTGCAGTTTTGTCTGATTGGCACAAGCAACAAAATGTCCGCTCTCCCATTATGCCTCCCATCCACCAAATTGCCAGGACGGCAGTGTAAATGTTTTGGCCCCACCGAATCAAGGCAGAAAAATGCAAGCTTTTACAAGCTGTTTGAAAGGGATTAATGGCACGGTATCGCAACTTGGTCAATTAACCAGAGAACAAGTTGAGTCATCATGTTTGTTTGGTCTTTCCTCAAGGTGATGCAGAATAACCACATCGCATCAGTGACGCTCTACAGTGCTCCACGGACCACCGGTCCAGCCCAACCCGAGGCCGGTAGCAGCATCTCCCACTGAACAAGTAACCGGACAACTGCATCTCATTCTGTCTTGTTCTCAGAGTTGAAATTAAGTAAGCCACAGACACAACACGGCCATTCTTGCATTAAATTCAGAAACAGCCACAATTGCATTCGTTTTTCTGTTGGCTTGCAAGAATCGCACTCAAGACTTGTCTGTGTTGGAGAACTGGCACTTACCGGCGGAACCGGTAGAAAGGAAGTACAGGAAGTGAAATGCAGCTGAGAGCTGCTCTGAAGCTGTGCTGCCGCTGTGGACTTGTGGAAATCACAACCAAGAAAATCTGTTCCACTCAAAGTCAAACGTAAAATATAAACGTGGGCTTGATTCTGGGACTCGTCGTGAACAACCCCCAGTGCCAGCCAGCAGCTGCCGCCCGAAGACGCCAACCGATCCAGAGAGAGCCATCAGACGCTGCAGAGGACTGATGAATGGAGAGGCGGCAAAGCCGGCTGATCCAAAACTTATTGGACAATAAAGGGACCAAGCATTCAATGGCGGAGCCAAATGTGACGCCTCAAAGCGGAAGTGTTCAAACATGGCTTCCCTAGTCACTCCCATCTACCCCGAAACGATCACCCGCATGAGTTAGCCTGCTGAATCGTCTCCTATCCAAACAATGAAGCACACTAACGGCCAGTTTACTTTGTTCCAAAGAGAGGTCAGCGTTGAACTCTTGTCGACGTGCACACAAACGCCGCATGAACTCGACAGACGGGCTCGGATTAGAGTACAAGCACAAATTGGCCACCTCTTCTTTTTTCTTTTTTTTTCTTTTTTTTTTTTTTAGTCCCGCATGTTAGAAGCATTGAACAATGCCCCCATCCCCGTTTTCTGTGCCCTGCCTCAATCATCATCCTATCACTATTTCCGTGTACTTTTTCTTATAGCAAGGTAGACCTTTGCACGCAAATGCACCTCTGTACTTGATTGCCGGGTATGTTAGGAGTAAGCAAGTTGAAAAGGGAATGTTTTTTTTTTTTTTCCTTTTTGGGGGTGCCGGGACGGGGGAAGCGGTCTTATTAATTAAATGACCAAGCTTAGAGAATAGATTGCCCTGTGGCGTGTTGTGTGTGTCGACACACCTTCTGTTCCTTTTCGCCCTGTGTGCTTACGCGCCTGTGTAGACTACTCTCCAACCCGGTGACGCTTGGCTTTTCATCCCTCAGCAACGTCCGCTTTCTCCTGTTCATTTAGCTGCCAAATACAAACGCCAAAGACATTTCAGGGTCATTTTGTTCTGGTTTGCTGACCTCACCTGTAACCTTTTCATGCTGTGTCATCGCGTCAGGCAAGAGGTGGGTTGGTATGTTGCGTTCGGTTCCTTCCCACGACAAGCTGTTTGAGCATTTTTATTTTTATATGCAGCTTAAGGTCCATCCATGTACAAGTATGCTCTTTGTCCTCACTCGTAAACCAATTCATTAGACGAGTAGAATAACTACACGTGTTTTTTGACTTTGTGTCAGTTTTGGCCTATTAGTATGACCTTAATCTGGATAGATTTGCAAACGGCTTTCCATCGTCCTCCTGAGTAGGACAACTTTTCCAGAGGAAAAGCTGCATTCATTCAATATTCCACGACTGAGGGCAAAGCGTAGCACTGTGGTACATGTACCTCAATCTGGATGGCAAGGATATTGCGTAAATGCACAAATGTTTTTCAAGGCATTCCTGCACATCAAGGCGGTAGAAAAGCCTCCCACTGACTCCAAAGCTCGTTCCGATGACATTGGGAACCTTGTGTTAAACATAAATAAAAACTGAATACAGTGAATTTCAAATCACGTTCAAGCTACATTTCATTGAATACACCCCAAAGGCTGCAAAAGCTATCGGACAGGTGGCAAAAAAAGCCTGAAGAAGTTGAGCACTGCTGTTTGGAACATCTCGCATGTAGGTGCCACGATAGGCTATCAAAGGAGCTGCCCTGAATTGCTCTGTCATTCACATGATTACAAAACTATCAAGTAGTATTTGTGCCAAAAGAAAAATAGTCGCGCGCAATCTTGTCACGCGAAAAAAAACCTAATTGGATGTTGAAATTTCAGCCGAAACGTTAATGCCGCTCGGAGACCCGCAGCCATTGTCTTCCTCGATAATGCCAGAGAATTGGGGCCCCCTAGGGAAAACATATCACGTAACAGCCCACCAATTCAATATTACTTTTATACATAAAACTGTAAATACGCTTTTCTAGGGCAACTGTCAGTCATGGGATGATTGACACGGTTATCTCTTGTCCGTCCCCTTTCCTGCGCCCTTGTCGATGCCTGCTTTGTATTTTTCTGGGAGTCGAATAAATTAGGAGCGTTTGTTCAAAACAGAGCTTGTTGATAAGTTCAAACTGCTGACGGTGTTGCTGTGCCATAACAATGCTTTTTGTTTTTTGGGTGTTTGTTTGTTTTGTGGAAACATCATTCCGTCAGTCATCTTGCCATCATTATTTTCGGCCGGCCCAGTCCAGTGGTGGGGAGGACGTACTTACTATGCCACATGCACGCATAAAAAACAAGAACACACACGCACAGCATGTTGATTGGTGCAATAAATACATAATGGGACAATGTCATTGCAGTCTGTGGAACCAAAAGGTATCCAAACACTGTTTTTAACTCAAACCTACTTGTGCTGCGCCTACATGTGATGTGGTCATTACCTTCTTAACGCCGATTGGCTTTCACCGTCAGTGATGGATGGACTGGGCCAGCCTGAAATAATGACACAAGGTCGACTGACGGACTTTCATGTCCACCGTTGTTTGTTTTAATTGCAACAGCGTAAAATTAGGCCTTTATTCTCCAAAAGTACACTTTTTTGTAAAAGTTTTTTTTCTCTCTCTGAAATGTGGACATTTGTCCTGTAATATTTGGAATTTATTTTCATAAAATAACACTTTAGACATCGTCTGGGTAACATTTTACTTATTTTTTTTCCAGGACGTTTTTTTTGTAAAAATAGCGCTTCATTGTTGCAAGTATGGCCGAAATTCATGTGTACTGTAATTCTACTAGCGTGTATGTTGGTTTTCTCTTGACAGCGTGACCCTCATGCACCTTTTTGGTCGGTCATTTCTCTTTTGCCCTGGAAACTAAATCCTTCACATTTGGACTGCAAAGGAGAGATGCAAAAATAGTTTTGGGCTCGTGTCAGAAGTGGAGTCTTAGTTTGCTTACTGCAACATTTTTACTGATAGGAACAGCTGATGCAGAAGGAACATTATTTGCTTCGTGATCTTTCCTGTTCTTGTTTTTCCACTTGTTGGGTTGGAAATATTGTAATTATTCTGAGAAGAGTTGTATTCAAACGCTTACCGGCAAATTGCTTTGGTGTAAAAAGAAAGCAGAAAAGGAAAAAAAAACTGCTGAACATTGTGCCTCATCTCCCACTGAGCCTGTTTTTGACTCGTCGTGATATCCTTTGTAAAATAGGGAAAAAAATTCCTTGTACATAGAATGATAATGGACAATTGCATCTGTTTGGTGAGTGAGTGTTTATATTGCCTCTCATCACAGCATCTTACATGCTGCTGTTGACGTCTTGTGTCAATTTCAAATTTTGCCTGTTCGGATTTATTGCATTTATTTTATTTTTTTTGTACGATACCTTGATGTTTTGTACTTTTCTTTTGACCTCTTTTGAGTGTTGGTCATATTTACACCAACCACCAAACACTCATTAAAGCTTGTCTCAGCGTTTATACAGTGTATGCTATACACTGTATAGATTCCATTAAAAGGTGTCCCAATGGCGAACTAATAACGTTGTAAATAGTCTTGGTGAGCTCAGGCCAGCTTCATGCTGTGGTGGCCCGTTGGTGAATGAGCGCATCAACTCAGGTGGACGGATCTAAACCGGAAATGGCTTGCAAGACAAGCTATCCATTTGTGCAGATTGTCTTTCATTTCATGGGCATGGTCAGTGAAGATGATTAAGTTTTAATTTATAATGCCTTGTTTTGCTTGTAATATTACCGTCACGTTAAGACTTTGTATTTGTCAGTTCTGTTTCCATCACGCACGCAAACCGTTGACCCTCCAAGTGTAACTTTTCAAATCCATTCTTTCAAAACGGTGGCGAATGTGCCCGATTGAAATGTGGTAACATGATTCCAATGTGACGATGTATATTTTGAATGCTAATTCCTTTGATTGTGGAAGAAGAAATGAGTGGCTTACTCAGCATGTTGAGCGAAGGGCAAATTGGAGTCCACTTAGCGCGTCATCTCCACCACCTGCTGCCCAAAGTGCTTTTACAAAGCCTCACATTCACGCATACAATAAACGCAATAATTACAGTAGATTGTGCAGTTTTGCTTCTGTAAAATGCTCTCGAAGCATTGCAAGATTTGTGCTTGTTGACTTCAAACTGCAACCATGCAAGTGAATACAACGAGAACACGTTTTGCACAACCTTTATGAGAGCAAATGATCAGCTCATTAACATCCAGTATTAATTTTCTGTGTGAGAATTGACCAAAAGAAAATAAAAATGAACAATCTGGATGTGACTAACATTTGGAAGGCTCTTTCTTTGCATGGTACATATTCACCAAATCTTGAAAGTAAGTAAACCATCAAATGTGCTGTCAAGGGGATCACAGGACTGTAATTCGCAGTCGGAGACTCGTAAACAAAAGGACAAAACCACTGAAACATACAAAATTAAAGTTCTCAAAAACATCTGGATCACAGAAACGAAGTTTCAGTTTAGAAAGTGAAAATGTGCATACACACTTAAAAAACAAAAAAGGGGGGTAACACTGTTGACTTTGGACATGGGGGTTGGGGTTCAAATCTCAGTAATAATGAATGATGGCGTCCAGCCGGATCCCTGAAGAAGACCATTTGCATCATGTAGATTTTTTTTTTCAACCACAGGTGTACGGAAATCCTGCTAACCCATTTCATAGTAGCTTTATCTCAATACTATGGGTAGTTTTAAACCCGTGTCAACTCTGTTGTTTGCAGCTAAGTGGTAAACACCATTTTGGCTGACCCACCTTCATATGCAATTAATCAACAATCAGATCCTCACAACTATAGTTCTCAACAAACAATTAACCCGTTAATTATCATATGCAATTAATCAACAATCAGATCCTCACAACGATACAGTTCTCAACAAACAATTAACCCGTTAATTATTTGAGTGCTATTGTCACCTTTACACTTGAACAGATTTAATCAAGTAAACCAGATTTTGTCATCCATTTTAGCGTCTCACGTTCATGTATGCATGACAGCGCATTTGTAGTACATTGAAGACTGTTGTTTGACATCAACTCTCACCAAAAAAAAAAGTTGATGTGAGTCATTTGTGAACAATGATATCACATTGAGCAGTAAAAGCTAGAATCCTTCGTTAATGCCTCCTTAACGCAGGGGGGAAAAATACAGAAGCATGTCTGCTCATCTCGTCGGTCTGCCAACTTGGGATGAGGTGTCACGTGACTGTGCTTCGGATCTCGGCCCTTTCAAATTTGACCACGTCTTCCCCGCAGGGTGTTAATCGTGTGTGACAAACACTCCCTTCTCATCATAGTCAGTCTCCCCCTCCCCTTTTGAATCTCCAGTCCTCCACCTGAAGGGTCCGGTTGTTGATCTGGACCTGTTGTGACAGTTCAGTTTGGGGTCATTCAACAACTTCCACATGAGCCATATCTGGGGCACGCTGAGGCTGTGAACCACCATGAGCTCCCGGTAAAAACACGGGTCGAACGTCTGGAGGTGAGGTGCCGCCGATGGACGGGGAATGCCGAAGGTCCGAAAACCTTGGTGACGCAATGGCTTGATTCCAAGCAGCTGGAGGCACATTCCCAGGAACACGTCATCGATGGGGAACAGCTCGACCTGGAATTTCGAAAGACGAATGTCAAACAAAAGACACCAAAAAGACGAATTGGACTTTGTAGTTCGGGTCAAATACTTGTTGACAGGAGACGCTGAGCCTCCGCGCTGTATGCCCGGACATGACGAAGCCTCCTCCCCCGGCATAAGACGGGTACAAAGCACTGCCGTACACATACTCTGGCACGTAGTACTTGGAAGTGCGGCGCCGAATGGGTTTGGCGTTGACGATTATATCGCCAATGAAAAGATCCTCATTTGACTTTTCACCTTGAAGCATCTCCAGTATGTTCTCCACGTTCACATAAACATCGGCATCCCCTTTGAAGATGAACCTGAGACGACGATGACAAGAGACAAAAGAATGAGGAGAAATGAGGTTGGCTGCGCCTCGCCTCAGGTGGCGGGTGGATCGAACACTGACTTGACGTGAGGACAGGTGTGGTTGACCCATTCCAGAAAGTGCGTTTCCTTTAAGGTCAAGTTGAAGAAGGTGTCCTCAAAGTCCCACAGAAGAATGTCCTCGAAGGTTTGACTCTCGTAGGTCAGCAGCTGATCCCACAGAGGTAAGGCAGTGCGATTCTTGGGCACCCCCAACAGGAAGACGGTGCGGACAGACCCGCCTTCTTTACCCCAGGTCCGACGTACCACCTGAGGTAAGTGAAAGTGGAGAGAACTTCAGTTTTGTCTGAAAACAAAAGAGCACCCGCACATTTTCTACCACATATCCTATTCGGGGTCGGAACCAGCCACGAATTTCACAAGCGAGTGTACTCTCATGAGGGCAAGGGTGGCCTCAGGCAACAACATAAAACAGTGTCGAAATCAAATATGGGAATTAGAACTGACTTCCATACCGGATTGGTCGGGGCCTGAGTTTACAATGACCGCCAACAGTGCTGCTGACCTACAGGGTGCGAATGAAAATAGGGCGGCTGTTGGTCGAACATGAAGAAGAGGAGGTTGGTTGTTTAGGACAGGGGTCCCCAAGCACCGATCCGCTGATCGGGACCGGGCCACGTAGAGACAGACCTGCGAGCTGTGAGCGAATTTACTCCAATTTACTCCGCGGTGAAAATGTGCGCAACTCTAGCCAATTGGAGTCCCCACTGTGAGGAAACAGCCAGGAGAGAGGAAATTTAGGAGTGTTGGACTGAGAGTTTCAATGTTGAATGGTTGCACAATGACAAAGCAAAGCTGAAGTTGAGAAAAGCTCTGTGTTGCATTCAAGAACTGGAAGAACTACATTGATGATACAGCAGCAGAGAAACCGAGAGGACTATGTCTGCCTATAACATCAGCTAAACCGTACCGAAAAAGAAGTTGGAAGTAAAATTCTGTTCAGTAGGGGAACTCGGCGGTTTGTTGAATCGCTGGCTGAGACAGATGGTAAGACAAAAAAAAAAAAATCAGCATTTTATTTACCTGCCGCTTATCAAAATCTGCAGCAACAGATTTCACTGCAATGAGCATGTAAAGCTCGCGGTTTTCTCCGGCTCGTTCGGATCCTCCCAGCTGACATTTCTGCGGTTGATCTATTAGCAGACGGAAGTTGCGGTTGTCCTTCTCTCGCATATAGCGCACAAAGTCAAACAGCGGCAATGTCGGCACAGGCGCGCCGCTCGTCTTGGTCGGTGTGATGCTCTTCTGTCGAGACTTGGACTTTCCTTTGGATTTAGACTGAGCTTTGGACTTGGGCTTAGGACGTTTTGACTTGTGTTCACAGAGAGGTAGCTGAGGCTCAGAGGGGCTGGCTGCATACTGCTCATTTGAACACATAATGACAACGGACATTTGATGTGACATAAAGTAAAGCAGAAATCATTACACACATACTGATTGTACTGTAGATGCTATTTAACATTCTGTGAACCAGTACAGGTGGCGTTATTTTCAACATTTAAGTCGTATTAAGAATTCTGATAAATCAAAACACAAACAGCCTCCCCCAACAAATTGTTGAGCAGCAGTAGGGAACTCCGGTTCCTCGAGAGCCACATCAGGCCTGTTTTACATCCCTCCCTACACCAACGCACCTGATTCAAAGGATCAGCAAGCACTGTAGAAGCCTGAAACAATCATGATCGATTGAATCAGGGAGAGCTCTAAAACAGGCAGGATATGGCTCTCGAAGAACCGGAGTTCCCTACCCCTGCAGTAGAGTGTAGTTAGTTTGCAGATAGATACGGGGCTCCAGTGCAAAACTGTACGTCTTTCACTCTTCCTGAACCCTTGAATCTCACCGGCAGGGGCTCCTGGGACACTCTGACTCTGTTGGATCCTAGCAGGGTCCGACTGGGGCTGGTGGGACGAAGGATTTCCAGACTCCATGCTGGCTTGTCCCACCCAGAGGACAAAAGGACCTGGAACATCACAGGACTAATGAGAATGGGAGCTTTGTGCAGGTTAGGTTCTTTGTGACATATGATTCCATTTGGGTCTACCTGTCGCACATAGAGCAACAAGGAGAAGAGCAGCAGTAGCAGCAACGTGCACATCACGTCTCCTTTTATGTAACACCCTCTTCTCCTCAGCGTCACCATTTTCTGGCTTTAGTCGCGTATTTAACAGGGGGTGAAGTAGGAAGAGATCTCTTAAGCATCTCTGCTTGGACGACTTCACCATTTGTCCAACAAAACGTATGTTTTCTCTATTCCGTGAGAGTCTGAAAGGCAACCCTTTATTTCCATTGCTCTCCTTCTCCAGACCCAGCACGGGCATCCTGACACAAACAGAACAGAGTCACAAGAGGGAGATCATGACAATGCGATGTGAAAAATAAAAGAATCGGATTTTGGTCAAACTCTCAAACAATTTGGCCTGATTGTACCAGGCCCTACAGTTCAGTTTCAGTCCTGTCCACAAGGCTCTCTCTGCTGGTTCCTTTTGGTACTGCTTCACTTGGCCACATTGGAAGTGGACTCTTCTCAGTCAGCAAAGACATTTGGCCCACATTCGGCATGAAGCGGCACAGGTGGCCATGCGTCGGCACTGGCATAAGGCATGTGGGCCAAACATGGCCCAGTAGTGGCAAAGGAGGCATTGGCTTGACTCTGGCAAACCAGTTGTTGAGTGAAGTATGTGGGCCAGAAATCAATTTACAACTCTGGCCCATATATGGACAGCCAGTATTGAGCCACCCTTAAATGCAGTTTCAGATTTTTTTTTCTACACACAGCCTTGTTTTACAAGTATGCGGAATTCTATTCATCACACACACACACACACACACACACACACACACACACACACACACACACACGCACTATTGTGAAAAGTGAATCAAAATTATACTAGGTACACTGTACATGTTCACTTTTTTTCAAAATTGAAAGGGTATTTGCATGGCTTGTGCCACTCCTTCACAATCATGTTGGTTTGTTTGTTTTTGGCGGGGTGGGTCTGCTGTTTGACAAACCAACTAAAATACTTATGACCTACACACTTGTTTTTCAGCCAACAATGCTCTATTTTGATTGGCTGAGAGGTGTTAATTGTTATGAACTACAGCTTATGTCTATCACTGCATCAACAGGACTTTTTAATATTTCTAATATTTCAAAATATTAAACACATCTAGACACAAAAAAATAGAATTGTACTGTCGTTTTTACCTCCTCCTGTGTGTTATTATAGTTTAACTTATGAGAATTTTGGATACATTGTGACGCTATTAAATAAGAGTAAAACTTGAGTAAAAGTCTTCCTTTTAAACCAAGGATTTTTCTTTTTCTAACTCCGAAGCTATACAACTTCACAGCGTGTACAAATGAGGGGGGCGTGTCTGTTATATAAGCGAATACTGTATACAGCATTTTATTCGGGTGCCGTCTAATTAAAGAAATAATGTGTCAGCAAAACATTCATTATGTCGGAGGAACGCTCCCAAATGTTAAAAACGAAGTATCTTCATATAATACGTAACGTCTAATTATTATAACGGAGTATAAGTGAACGTGACAGAAAAAGTCCGAAAAAACGCGCACATTTATATTTTCCAGCTTGTTGACAACGTCAGCAGCCCTATTTTATTAAGACATAGTAAATTGCATGTAAGTACAGCGTATATAACGAATTCATTCAAACTTACCAAAGCGGACGGAGGAGGTAGGACAAACTGGAAACATCTGGACGTATTGCGTCTCCACACTGGCGCTCATGTTGCCTTTAGATGCTATGGGAAATATGCCATTTACTACTCAACTTTCTGAAACAGATTGAGCAAGCATTGCATTTCCCTTGCTAGTAAGTAATTTTGAATCGCGAAATACGTTAGAGAAACCAAGTACAGTTATAAAGATGAAAGATAGCAGATGCATTTGCTTCATACCACCGGTAAAACTTGGTAAAAAAAAGTGTTAGGATTTGGTGGTCGTGCGGGATCTAAAAGGGAGGGCCTGAACGCAGCATCTCCTGAAACCGAACCACGTGGCTGAAATTTGAAGGAACAGCGGAATGGGGGTTGGGGTTGTCAAAGGAAAAAAAAAGAGTGGATTGTGGAGCTAAATGACATTTCATCTCTGTAATGTCATTGGGTTTGTTCTGAACACCCAACAGAATAACTATTTCTAGCAGAAGTAAAGAAGATTCAGTCCACAATGGCATTTGACAAAGTGAATATGAGAAGCTTCTCATAATGAGCATCAATGATGATAATTTGTGATTCTTTTTTTTTTTTTGTCTCCTCAGAAGACTCTACTGAAGGCACATTAAAGAGTTCTGCTTCTGTGACAAAACGATATGTGGTCCACCGAAATCGAGACTAATCACTGTCCCAGCGATTTCTTTCAAAGTATAGTGGGTTTGGCTTTCCAGGGGAACAGAATGTAGTTTATTGCATGCACAAGTTTTAGATGCAAGACAAAGACTTTGGTAGAATATCACTCAAGTGGCCTCTGTGTATCCACAACTGTGCACACCTTCTTATAACGGGGATGTGGCTGTGTTCAGAATTAACCACTGAATGGGAGTCAGCACATTCCTGCCAGCATTTACGCTGGTTCTTATTAAGCCCATATAAAGTTCAGATGTTTTAGTAGGCTTTTCTGCAGAGAGATTCATCGTCATCAGAGGGATCTTTGTGACACACAATAAAAACAGTCATCCGTGAGTGGTAAAAATACGCCACAATGGTGACATTATCCAGAGCTGGATGTTCCCCCAAAAATGAGTAAAAAGGTGAGGAAATTGGTCAAGGAGGGTGCCACGAGGCTGATTTCTCATCTTCTTTATTTTGGGGCTGTTTTTCTTCAGTTGGAATTGGGGCCTTAGTCAAGGTCGAGAAATTAGTTTTGCAACTAACAAAGCCTTTGGGTTTCTGCAATAAAGTGGAAGATGAAATAAGGGCGGCCTGGTGGTCAACTGATTCGTGCGTCGACCTCACAATGCAGAGGTGCAGGGTTCAATTCCAGCTCCTGCCTTCCTGTGTGGTGTTTGCATGTTCTCCCCGGGCCTGCGTGGGTTTTCTCCGGGTCCTCCGGTTTCCTCCCACATTCCAAAAACATGCATGACAGGCTGATTGAACACTCAAAAAATTGTCCCTAGGTGTGAGTGTGGGTGCGGATGGTTGTTCGTCTGTGTGTGCCACGCGATTGGCTGGCGACCAGTTCAGGGTGTCCCCCGCCTGCTGCCCGGAGACAGCTGGAATGGGCCGACCCTTGTGAGGATAAGCGGGTCAGAAAATGGATGGGTGGACAGATGGATGAAATAAAAATTTCATATTACAATATGACAATGAACAAAAGCACACATCCAAATCAGCAAATGAGTGGCTTCACCAGCAGATTAGCGATTTGGAATTGCCCAGCTCGAGTCAAGACCTCAATTTGATGGACCATTTTTGGGACGACCTGAAGGCGGCTGTACACAGATTTCCTCAAAATCTAACAGATTTTGAGCATTTTTGCAAAACAGAGTACTACAACAGTATTAGGTGATGGGTGTGCGTATTTGTGCAACCACTTTATTGTGCTCCCCCTCATAAGAGTTAAGTTTGTTTTTTAATTTAGTTATGGGTCACATTACAGGTGGAGGTGTGTAAACTTTTTCTATTCACTGTTGTCCTATGTGAAGGCAACATCTACAGTGTAATTGCCCTCAACTGGACTATGAATGGTTACCTTCTTTGTTCATGATACATAAAGTCTGCTAGTGGACAGAATGTAGACAACAGGAAGTCTGGCCGGTCCAGTGCAACTGTGCCACGCCACATGTGATTCCCAGATGTTGAGTAAACAAAAGAGAGCCCGCAAGGGAGGAGAATGCTAAAGATTTTTTTTTTTTTTTTTTTGAGAACACATTGCTTTGTTCATGCACACTAATCCCGATGTCCAAACCCATCCAATAGTGGAGAAAACGGCTGACTGATCCAGATCCTCGGAAAGAGAAATCTTTCCCTTTCTGTGCTCCGCGAAAGTCATGGAACAGTTACACAATACTTTTAACATTTAATCTTCACAAAAGAACAATGATGACAAAGTTATCATTTAGAAAAAGTAAACACGTCAGTGGTCATCTGCGACGTGAAGATTTCTTTGGCTACAAACACAGTGCTAAAACACACAACTACAACATTGCTCCCAATGGGTCTCTCCCTCGTCTTAGAATGTTACTGAGTCAGCAAAACAGTCAGCGGTTGCTTTTTTTTTTTTGTGGTTACTCATACATGATTCAGCATTCCTTTTACAAATGTGCAACATGACCTGGCACACTCCTCGGGCCTTCGTCTTAACTCATTAATGACTTTTAAAACCTATTTGAATTGCTCATTTTAATTAGAAATCCCCTCAAAGTTGCATGGGACAACTGGCACGTTGACATATAGCTGGAATAAAAAAAAAATAAAAAAAACCTTGGAAATGGGTATGATAATGCCTCCTGAGAATATGCGGTTCAGATTATGGACGAATGGATGAATTTGGAACACAGCATCACGGAATATCACAGCAATCCCCAATTGCAGCGCAAATACGCCCGTTATAGGATGGGGATGCATTTACAGTATTACAGTCTGACTGGACGCTTACAATCCTTCGATTATTTTCTGCACCTTTGATAAAATATTGGAATGTTTGGGATGACAAATGAAAACATCTCCCCATAAACATTTTGTTCTTTGATTGTGTTTGCATCTTTAAAACATTTCGAACTAAGCAAATCAGAAAAATCATTGTGATGCTTAATTCTGAGCTTCATGATAAATGTCATTCCTTGAAAACCGTGCTAGCTATCTCTTACGTTGAACCGTTTACATGGTTCCAGCTGCTGTCTCATACACAACTACTCCCGGTTTAAAAAGCAGCTACACTAGCTACACACAGCACTTGACTGACATGGATGGCTCTCCGCAATCCAATCTAGCACAGATTCAAGTTTCGGGATCATTTGTTGGATTGCGCTGAAATTGTCATGCCAGGGAAACCCTCCAATCCGTTGTCATCTCATCCTTGTGCTGGTGAAGGATGAAACAGATGGCTTTCCAGTCGCGATCCTCTCTTCGCCTCTGTTGCCCGCCTTGCATCACTTTCAAGAGGCAGCCACACCAGCTCTCATGACCCTGAAGAGTGCGCTGACGTTATTGCTCTTAATGGCGTCCCGACATGCTGAGATGACTTGATTCTTGGGTTTACCCACTCAAAGAGAAGCACAGATGGAGGGAAAAAAAGGAATGAGAGAATATAGTGGATTCTCCTCGCACACTCACAGTTGGGCATCCTGAACCCGTCATCAGCCAATCGCAGGGCACATTTAGACAAACAACCAGTCACGCTCGCATACAAAGCTACGGATTATTTTGGGTGTCCAATTTCTTTCAATACTTTTGAAATGTATAGGATTTGTTTTCTTGGATTTTTTTTTTCACGCAGTTTACAGTGGGTGGAAAATGTACACTGAATGTTTCTCAATGTTTTTTGAAATGTTTTGGGCTTTTGTCAATAAAATAAATCCCAATGCATTTCAATAGCCGTCAATTTTACGCAAATTTTTGCTATTTGTTGGCCGACCCTGTCATTTCCCTCACGAATACTTTTTACCATTTGCTGCCAGTGTACAAAAAAGCAAGTTGTCACACTAAGATATACAAAACCCAAACCCAAAACAACCTACCTCGGAGTCGACCAGCTCGCTGAATTGCCTGGTTGACCGACTTGAGGCAGGCCAGCAGCGCATTGTGATTATTAGAGCGAATTTTGTACTCGCTGACCAGGTCTCTGTTTAGATCGTATAGCTCTCTGTAGCGCTTTTTCATTGAAGTCCTGCCGAAGACAAAGAGGCTCAAAGTCAGAGCGCAGATATACCTGCAAGGATGTTGAAAATGACTGACAAAACAAATTGATCCACAATCTGACTTGACGATGCTCAACAGTTGAGCTCCCCTGGCAGACGCTTTCAAGATTCAGTTTGGGGCACCTCAGGGATGATTCAAAAAAAGATTTGACCAGTTTATAGCCCCATCCATTGCTGCAGTCGAATACTGTACTAGAGATGAAGGAGTGTACACTGGCATATTCGACTCTTAACCAAATATAAGGTGGAAGGAAACACTGCCTGCTGTGGTGACATCATTTACTCAGAGGGGGTGTCGTATTATGTTGCAGTCAGTTCCTACTATATTTGGAAATGATTCAAAGGTACGACATTAAATATTTGATAGAAGGCTGCTCAGTTGAATTGCTGTGCTGCCTATGAACGGAAAGTCAACTGTCAGCGCTGTCGCTATTGATGACAATAATACAGTTATTTCCATCCATCCATCCATCCATTTTCTGATGGGCTTATCCTCACAAGGGTCACGGGGGGTGCTGGAGCCTATCCCAGCTGTCTTGGAGTAATAGGTGGGGGACACCCTGAACTGGTTGCCAGCCAATCGCAGGGCACACTGAGACCAACAACCATCTGCGCTCACAGGCACACTTAGGGACAATATAGAGTGTCCAATCAGCCTACCATGCATGTGTTTGGAATGTGGGAGGAAACTGGAGAACCCAGAGAAAACCCACGCAGGCACGGGAAGAACTTACAAACTCTACACAGGAAGGCCGGAACCGGAATCGAAACCTGCACCTCTGTACTGCGAGACCTAACCAGGTGACCAACAGGCTGCCCATAACAGTTATAAAAGGTAAATGTTAGTCTTAGTTTGGATTTTCAAGTAAGATAAAATGACCACACATTATAGCTTTAGTAATGATTGATTTTGAAGGATAAGCATGACACATTAAATGAGCATTTTGTAGAATGGTAGAGAGAGAAAAAAAGGCAAGACAATGAAATGCAGTGTTTATATAAATGGTTACTTTCAGCATCTGGTAAACTCACATGTCACCCATCAAGCGAGCATCCTCT